TTGTTAATTTGAAGTCTTATTGTTATAATCATGAATTATTCACGATATGTCGTGACATGGAACTCCATGACAAAATGGTAGAGTTGAATGGAAACAATATCATATTTTAAACGTGTCTCGAGCTCCACGATTTAGCATGAATGGATATTAATCTCCCATGATATGATAACCCGGATTTTGATCTTAATAAATGTACCATATTGATCGTTCTATGTCAAAGCCCTTCAATCAAAATATGATGTGTAGGCATATAAGAAGGTGACAAATAGTCATTGGAATACCAAAAAAAATGCTCACTAACAATTTTTTTTATTGGAATACCATGTGTCAAGCTCAAAATGCTCACTAACAATCATTAAAATGACAAAAAATAACTCAATGCAAAAACAAAGAAGATAGTGACTTATTCTTCAAAATAACTAATTAAAACAAATAACCATAAATAATCAAAATTGAGCCATCCTCAACAATGACACCAAAATTCAATACGTCGGAGTTTTACCTCAATAAATGTACTACATTGACGAAAAGTCAATCACCTCATAGAACAAATTGACTCGGCAACTACATCACGAGTGACACAATGGCAACGGAAGGACTTGAAATCTAACAATGGACATGGACATGAAATCTAACAACGGAAGGAAAGGACACCTATCGAAAGTCTAACATAACAAACTCCAACATAAACGTACTTGACAGTGGAGTTAATATAAAGCTCAATACTAAATCGTAACTAAAACTGAAAATAACCAGTGATAAATATACTTAAACCCAGGGCGGGTCATTGACTCATTGTCTTTACTGAATTCTGATGCCCTGGCCCAAGATCACTAAGAAACTTTGTGACTAGTGACCGTGGAGGGCATGAACGCCCGCCCTTAACCCATTTTTTGGATTGTACTCCTTGGTATCCTTCTTATCCATTAATAGGGAAGGCATCCTGGACTCCACCGAAAAAGGGTTGAGTAGCTTCCCCGCCCACTAGCTTTGCTGCCACCTTATTCCCGTTCTCTGTTCCATTTTCTCTTTCCTCTGTTTTTGGAATCGTAAAGAGATCTTCCATCCTCCCTGCCAAATCGTACAAAAAATCAGGCATTGAAGGCTAAATCCAACCCTTTCAGCATCTCTTTTGTCGGGCCACACAAATAATAATACCATTTTCGCAGGCAGTACCCCTAACATAGCCTTTGCTGCAAACACCACTCCTGATGACGCGGACGTTGCAACCTCCACCACTGCGACCCCAATAATAATGGAGTTTCACTAGACTCCTCACGCGCAAAAAAAAAGGACGAGAAAGCAAAACTAATAAACCGTCTACTCCAATCTTATGTCAAAGTTAAGGGCGACTATACCATACTAAACCCTAAGGATATTGATATGCACTAATTAGTAGTGCATAAATGTTTGTTTTTATGTTTGATTTGTGTGGATTGTTTACCGTTTTAGTAATTTGAGAACATTTGTGTGATTTTAGTTGTAATTGTATTTTAATTCTCATTTGTAAGTTGTAAAGTAGAATTAGGAATTATGGTGTTGAAAGGAAGGACTTTGAAGTGAAGAAAAAGAAATTTTGACTGTCCAGGAGCAAATACCCGACCGGGCATAAGACGTCACCCGGTCGGGTCTGATTCAACAACCGAAAGTGCCTGGAAAGTGCACTCACCCGGTCGGGTCCCCTACCCCACCCGGTCGGGTCTGACTTGACCCGGGACACTTTAACATGCCGAAGATCACCAGAACGTAGATGATATTTGATTTTGACATGCACCCGGTCGGGTGGGCACTTTACCCGGTCGGGTACCCGGCCAAAGGTGTTGTAAAACACATATAAATAGCCCCATTTTCTTTCACTTTTAATCATCCCTTCTTCTATACTCCTAAGCTCAGTTTAGAATATCATTTCTTTATATTTTTCTAGCTATGTTTAGTCTCCAAATGAGGAGCTAAACTTCCATTCTTGGTGTTGCTCTTGAAGCTTGTTGATTATTAAAGTTGTGAGTTATTTTCTTAACTTCTTTCCTTGAATATTAACTAATAGTTCTTTCCTTAATACCATCTTTATATTAATGTTGGGGAGTGTTGCTAAGATGACAATTAGTTAACATCTCGACATTAGTTAGAATGTTATTTTCTTCCTCTATATTAATGCTGGGGAGTGTTGCTAAGATGACAATTAGTTAACATCTTGATATTAATTATAGTAGGATTCATCTTCTTTAATAATATTCTTCCTTGAATATTGATTAATTCCTACTCATATTTCATATTAATATTTTGAACATTACTTAAAGGATCAACTAGTTTTGTTTCATATATTAATTATTACTAGAAACGATCAACGAACCGATGGTTAATCGTTGATCGTTTCACAAGTAAGTAACTTCGGTTTATTAATGCACGGTCGTGGTTAATAAACTTAAGAGGGATTAATTTTGTTGGTTAAACCGAAACCGTTGTGTTGAGGTTATCAATCTCAATTGATTTCATCAAGGAGTTTGAAAGATTAAATGCTACTATTAAATCGGTATAAGGCGTTGTTCTATATTTGATTAATAGTAAGGGTTATTAATGAACGGTTGTTGTTAATAACTACCCTCGATGAAGTGGATATACTCTCCGATTGAGTATTCGATAGGGAATAAGTTATAGATATAACAATGATCGACTAAAATATATCAACAAGTGGAAAGTAGCAATGCCAAGTCTTTTTTATCTTTGAATTAAACACATATAAGTTGTTCATCTTAGTTCTTAATTAAATTAAATCACTCAATCCAAATCTCCCCCTTTTTATTTACTAAGTTTCATAAAAAGAGAATTATTCCTTTCCCTGTGGATACGAACTCTACTACGCTATACTACGTATAAGTGCTTGTATTGAAAATTATTTTGACGCACCGTGACAAAGTGCTCGTCAGATATGTTTGAGAGTTGGGTTTTGGAGGCGAGAGGATGGTTTACAAGCATTTATGGTTCTCCTTTTCATGTTTGGGAGTTAAAAAATATGGATGAGATGGTTTTGGAGGGTTTTTGTAACCTTCCAAAATCTTTCATATGCTCAATTTCCAAGTTCCCTAAATTGGGGAATTTTGAAAGATAACTAATTAAATGAAAACTTAGTTTAGTTTTAAATAAATATAAACTCAATTATTTGAATTCGTCATATATGTGAAATGATATTAATTATGATTCATCCAAAACCTTATCTTTTCAAACTTGATACTCCCAAACAAGAAGAAACATTTCCAACCCTTTCCCTCCCCTTCCCTTACGACGACTAACCTTCAAAAACTCCCCCTCCCCTCCCCTTCAAACTCCCAATCATCATACCCTAAAAGAAGGAATGAGACTGCTCAACCTTAATCTTAAAACATTACAAGTTCTTGTTGCCGGTGCCAATTGGTTTTACTTAATTTATTACGGAGTATATACTTAATTATTATACGAAGTATACTATATATTCCTTTTTTAATAGCACACATATTGGATTCACTAATCCAGTAAGAGATGGAATAAATCAAGCAATCCCAATTCGTACAGGGCATACATTACGTAATACCGATTTTTCTTTCTTTACAAATACGTGTAGAGTTTACTAGGGGTGTGCACGGTCCGCGATTCAGGTAATTCATAAATTTTTAAGAATCGCCGGTCTCGTTTAGCGGGTAGGTTCGATTCGGGTATATCAAATTTCGAAATAGGAACCGAACCTTACCCGCCCCGTTTGAAATAGCGATGGATCGGGCCCGGGCCGCCCAGCCCGTGAACCGGCCCAGCCCGCTACTATGTGGTCTGGACCGGCCCGGTCTAGGGTAACCGGTCCGAACTTTTTTTGTTTTTTCAATTTTTTTGGTTTCCCCTGGGTAGGGTTGGGTGTTTTGGGGGGTTTGGGGTGTGGGGGTGAGGGGGGGGGGGGGTCGAGGGTTAATTAGAAAAGCAAAAAAAAAACATTGAATCGGATCGCCCCGGCCCGAGATCGGCCCGGGACCGGCCCGACCCAGCCCGGAACCGCCAGCTACCGGGCCGGTTCCGGGCCTCACTTCCCCCACAAAAAGCCCGGTTGGACCCGGCCCGGAATCGGCCCATCGCTAGTTTGAAACGACCAATTCGGTCCGAGTCCTCGGTTCTTTTTTTGTAAAAACAAATACGGCTATGCAAGGAAAGTTTCTAGTAAGTTATAAAATTCTCAAATTAATTACGTATTGATTTAACCATAATATAGTAAAAAATCAAAATAAAAGTATAAGACACCATTTTAAATTAGTTAACAATACATCTATCCACAAATTTATAAATTAAACACACACAACCACCTTAAATAAAATGTTAATCCTCATTTATAAACCAATTAAAAAGATAGGATCATAAATTCATAAGAAATTAAACTAGTTATTATACATATTTGTCTATTAAAACAATTTAAAGCTCATTGAATCTCCAAGTAAAGTAAAATTAAGATAACTAAATGAATATGTCACACTTCATTGGGTAAGATTCTTTGTTTACAAAAAATATTAAAGAAAGTTTGATGCATTTGGAATAAAGAATAGAGGAAAATAATCTAGGAGTATAATTATACGGACTTGGATGATTTAAAAAAAAATTATACGAACTTGGAAACTAGTTTTAATTAAAAGTCTTTGTCTAGACAAAAGAACATGAAGAGCTTTCGTGTGTTGTTAGTATATTATATTATACTAATATTAAATATAATAGAGATTATTAAAATAATATTTTAAAACGGTTCGGTCCAGGTACCGGTTTTTTCAAATTTTAAGACCCGTTCGGTTCGTAAGTTTTTCAGCACCTGCCCCGCCCCGAACCGTTTTGATTTTCTAAAATTAGGACCCGACCCTAACGCACCCCGAACTTGTATTACACGGCCTGACCCGCGGTTCCAGTACCCGTTTGCCCACCCCTAGAACTTACTACAATTTTCCTTTTCTTCCCCAAGTTATCAGACGCCGCCCATATGACAAATATAAAGTTATATAAACATTGTCCCCATTCTCTAAAAGTTACTATTTAAATCAACTTCAAGGATCAACAGCCAACTTAACATAAATTGCTACTCTTACAAGGAGCTGATTCTCACAAGATAGATACTCAATATGAAACTAAATGCATAAATAATCCTAAAAAGGTGATGAGTCATTTAGAAGAACAAGCAATTACAATGTTAATATTTGTTTGAGGGGTGTGTGTTCTTTTTCTCTGAATAACCTGCTAAGAAACAGCGCATGCAGTTCTTGGAGGTATGAAGAGAAACAATGATCACGCAAACTTGGTCAAACACGGTTGTAGGCAACTGACTTGCTGAACAAGCGTCTAATGTAAGCAACTTGAAGTGAGCTAGCAAGAGCAAGCAAAAGATACTCTCCAACCGTGTAGAAAATGACTCGCCTTCTTGTGCTCTCATTTGCTTCATGACAACATAAGTTTAAATTAAGTGTTTGGCATACATACATGAATATGCACATGGTGTAATATGGTTAGCAATTGCAGTCTGACAGTTTTAATCAATGGTCTGCATTTCATTTTCAGTTGGTGGGAGGGTGGGGGCAGTGACAAGCTACATAAGCAGCAAAACATTGCACACCCACCACATCGGTAATCACCCCATGGCAGCAAGATAAATACAGACTGCAAAACTATTAGAATAGTAGCAGAGAATGAAAGACGAAGAAGAATTATTTCATTGTGATCTCAATAGCAGTACATGACTATTTATAATACTGAAGCTTAACAGACTTGTAAAAAACAATAGGCAGCTCTAACTAACTATAACAGCTAGACTAATGCTAAGCTATTACAATACGCGTGCATATAGTATTCCTAACAAAAACTAATGTTTACTGCTGGCAGACACAAAAGAAATTGACGGATGTGCAGTCTCTGAAAAGGTGATATTCAACGACTTACAAGTCTTCGAATCAATACTTCTGCACCCAGATAGATAAACAACTATGTACTTTTGTACTTCTCATTTCCCCAAATCCACATCAAAATGAAAACTAGCATACCTTAATATGCAATAGGAAATGAGTGGGTGCATTAGCATTCAATGTCCTATTGTTTTTATCTAAAACGCTATTTCTAACCCTATTGTCAGACGAGGTTCCTAAGACTATTTGGGTTCCAAGATCACAGAGATAAAAAATGTAATAGAAAATTTGAGCAATGCAATGTGCCTAATGTAATCAAGATCAAGGACCTACTATGACGATGGCGAGCATCACGTGCTTTCAAATACTTCTGCTCAGATGTAACTGATTCCAATGCTTCCCTCAGTTCAGCAATTTTGACATTAATGGGATCCAAGTGTTCTGCAAGAAAGAAACGATTTTACATCATCTCTAATATTTTAAAGAAACTCGCAGCAGCTTCCATTGTCACTTATTACTCAATATCTGTTTGACTTTGAATATGGAAGGGCTGGATAATAAACACATAGTTTTGAAATTAAAACATGAAAGAACTCTTTGTAAAAATTAAGACAAACCATCCTTGGCGAGGTCATGCTCATTAGGAATGTGGCCAACATGTATGTAGAAAGACACTGTTTCTGGCGTTGAATATGGATTGTGAAAACAGAATTTGTACATCCCGCTTCTTGGGGCTTTAAATTCAAATTTATCACCAGATGTTCCCTTCATTGTGTGAACGACATTGTCTCCAGGTGATGTCACCTGCAGTAGAAAAATGAAAAGACAAAAAAAAAGAGACATGTCATTGATATTCCATTTCAGACTGTACTTGGCTCTAGCTTTAACAGTTCATTGAACAAAAAATATCCCAACATGCCATCAACATAGTAGCCACATCAATACGCACCAATTACACCTACAAACTCTAGCGTTTAGACACGCAGTATATCATATTGTATTCTACATTTAGCAATAAATTGGCTTATTTCGTGTAAGATGACCAATTTCTGGTAGATGGAGCTAGAAAACCATTTCAATTATGATCGTAAAAGAACGAATTGGTGCAGTCGCCAGTCGGGGCCTTCGCGAAACAACCCCTAACATCATACATTTTTGGATAAAGGATAACATTCTGTAAGATCAAAGGGTGTGGTAATTCATGTGCGTAAACAAAGACCAAAATACATATTGTACTTGTAATTTACCAATGATTTGCATTTGTTCATCTACAACATTGAAAGCTGGAATAGCGAGAATTGTGCCCTACTCCCTAACTGTAGAAGACCGAGATACAAAATGAGCTGAATAGCAACCTAATCAGACTTCCTTTGGGGCGTGTCTAGTTCGAGGGGAGGGAGAGTATACATGGCAGGAAAAGGGGCAAGGAAGAAAATTACGGTCACCTCATAACCAAAAATACTAAGCCAAACATGAGGAGGGTAGGATCTCCCTCCTACAGTTCTATCTGTAGGATCTCCCTCACAACCAAATATACTAAGCCTTCATTCTCATTCCACAGTTCTATCTTAATCACAGTTTTGACTCATGAAAAGGCAGGGGTCCGTTTAGGATATGTTTATGAGATCTGACACTTTACTACTTGATAATCAGGACAGTTCATGTACTGCCATGGATTTCGTCTTTACTCCTTTTTTGTATTTCTTGTGAACAGCTCTTCACTAAAATGATGTACTTCGTATGTCATAACAAATAAAATGAATTAGGGCACAATCCAGAGGTCTACTATTTAACAAATTGATTTTCCCAGGAAGATCTATTTAATAAAATAACTTCAGCTTTTTCGATAGAGAATTAGAGGGATTAGCTCAATCCATCAAAATTCCTTTTTTATTCTTCAAAATTATATAAATCTAGTGAAAACTCGAACAGAAACAACATATCTAGAAAACTCAAAAAGCAGACTTCAGCTTATAAAAATTCCATCCTTTTAATAAAATATAAATTAAATATTCTAAAAAACTAACCAGTAAATTTATACTTATAAAATTAAATCTTGACAATTTGCCTAGATACAACGGAAATCAGCGCGAATGCATGCATATACAGAAATCGGAGATGGAATCAATGAAATATTACGATCAAATCAATGCCAGGGTGATCCGAGTTCCAGAAGATGTCGTGATCAACCACGACGAAGTTGCCGGAAATGGTGTCGCCTTCGTAGAGAACGTACTCGTACACGCATTCAACTTCGTTGACGGTGACAGATAGCGCAGAGAGATCGGAAACGAAGCTTAACAGTGTCATCACCAGCAGAGAATACACTCTGATTCTCGCCGTGATTGCCATTTTCTAAAATTTCACCGCTTTTCTTCGCCGGTTTATTTTCTCAGATAACGCTTGTGCAAGGACAGTTGCCCAGACCTCGGTTTAGGTTTCTATATTTCTTTTTTTTTGTTAATCAAGACTTTTCCAGTAGGACAGGATCCGAATTCTGAAAAAACGAAATCCGAATAAAAATAATTTGAGGCGTCCGAATCAAAAAACAAAACGGAATCGTGGCTATTTGGTCAAATTATACCGTGTTACCGTTATACCATGTGTATCATATACATGTATCATTTATGGTGTCGTTTTTTTCATTTTTAAAGCATTATGTACGTTTCTTTTCTTTTCCTTCTTGCCCTCCAGATTTGTTTGGAGCATTATTTTCTTTTTTTTTTCTTTTTTTGTTTTTTCCAATAATTTTCACCTCCATGAAAATACTAAAAATTAATTGTGATTTTATTTATTTTTATCTTTAACTAATTAAATTAAAATTGAATTAACTTTTTTCTTTAATTACCAATTTATTACTGAATTTCTTAAATTTTTTATTTAATTACCAATTTATTACTAAATTTCTTAATCCACATAAAATAAGTACTACCAAATTTATTTTTGGTGTAATACTTTTTTCATTTATACACCTTTTTTGTAAAATATTTTTCATATTCACACACTTCTTTTATAATATATTTTTTATCTCTTTTATATGTTTGTAGTTTTTTAAGACATTGAGTTTATTTATTTCGATTTAAATCTGATAAAACATGAGATTACATTTTTCATATGTGTGAGTTATGTTACAATTTCTGGAGTTACATTTGATAGTATATGGAGTTACATCTTCTTGTCCACGAGTTACATCTGTTTATGGGTGAATTACATCATTCTATGCGTGAGTTACATTTAGATTTGTCTCAACAATTTACATTTTGCATACACCTACGTTAAATTTTCCATCAATGCTAGTAATATTTTTCATAACATGAGTTACATCACAAAATAAACTCATGATATTGAAACAAAAAAAATTGTAAAAAAAGATTATTTTTTGGCAATTTTTTTTGAATTGTTTTCTTTCTTTAAAACATTTTTATGGCCCTAATATTAAAAACAAAACATATTCACTATTTACGTAAACTAATTGAAAAATATTAAACTCCTTGTTTTCAATGTTTGCATTTAATATTATATGAAGTTACATCTTTTATGCATGAGTTATATCTGTTTATGCGTGAGTTACATCTTAATGTAAGTGAGTTACGTTACAAAAAAATATGTTTTAACTATATCATTTTTATAGCCCTAATTTTAAAAAAACTTATTCACTTTGTTTACAAAAAGTAATTGGTCACTTAGCATCAATTTTACATTGAAACCAATGTTTATAATATATAGGAAAAAGGTGCAAATAGGCCCATGTACTAATAAAAAAAGGTCAAATAAGCCCTTATTTAGGAGATTCTGTACGGTCATCGCTATTTGGGATGGTTCCTAGTGGAATTGTTTGATGAATTTTTTTTAGCATTTTATTCATCAAGTCTAGTTTACTCATACCAAATTTAAGCTAAAAATTCTTTGGGGAAGGCATTCAAATGAATTCTTGAAAATAACTGCGCAGTTAGAATCGCAGTTATCTTCAAGAATTCATTTGAATGCCTTCCCGATTGAAGTTTTAGCTGAAATTTGGTATGAGTAAACTAGACTTGATGAATAAGATGCTCAAAAAATTCCACCAGGAACCACTCCAAATGACGACGGCCGGACAGAGTCTCCTAAATAAGTGCTTATTTGACCTTTTTTTTATTAGTACATGGGCCTATTTGCACCTTTTTCCTAATATATATATATTCTATTTAATCACATCATTTTTATGGTCCTAATATTAAAAATAAAACATATTCGCTAATTACAAAAGTAATTGAGTAATTAGGATCAATTTTTCATTACTTACATTGAAATCAATTTAGTTTTTCTTATATTTCATTTTAGACCACTTACATTTAAAGTTGACTCAAGTTACATTTCTATCAACGTGAGTTACATTTTTTAAAACGGGAGTTACATCACCCTGCTACTGGAATACAAAATAAAAGTTATTGTTCATCTGTGGGTACTGTTCATCCGTGTTTTATCTCTGGGAGCATGATGCTCATAGTGGGCCAGTACCACGGTATACGGACTGTTTGATTTGATTTTAGCTTGTTTCCTTTCAAGCTCGAATCTAATAAATCGAATTAATTGAACATCAAACTTTATTTGTTAATTACTGTTAAGCATTAGTCTTAATAATATTGATATTTTTTTGTATTATAATTTCAATGTTTTATGTCACATGTATTACATAATTCTTAGTAAATGATAAGTTATTATATTTGTGGTTTAATCTTCACATCACAAAATTATAAGCATGAATAAGGGTAAAGTTATTTTAGAGTCCGTTTGGTAATACTAAAATCGGTTGAATCGGCTGTTTATGCTGATATTTATGAAGTTCTGGCTGAAGTAGTTATATTGGCTGATTCTGCTGATTTATGAAAAAATTATATATAAAATATATTTTATCAATAAAATAAAATAAATAAAAAATTATATTAAAAATAGCTAAAATGATCCTCTGCAGTAACTTCAGCCAATACAGTCAGAAAAGTAACTTCAATCTTACTTTTTCTTATTATTACACAATTCAATGCGGGGAATAAAAAATTACGTGTTTGGTGAAAAAATTGACTGATAAGCTTGATAAACCAAAAAACGAGCTCTTAGTGTGCACATTTCGTACATTCATCTATCTGACACACTTTTTATGTGTAAGAGAGACGAATGTACATAAGGTGTGTAATATGAGAGTTCCACGGAGATGTACCACATGGTTTAGCCTTTCCTTCAATTATCGTCTTCAAACGTCCAACGTGAATTCCGTAACCTCCGTTAGTACGACCTGACCAGGCCCCCTTTCCTTTGTCGGGGACTTCCGCAAAATCAAAGTGGGTGACATCATCGTATACTCCACTTTAGAGGTGGGCGCGGTTCGGAACGGTCCGGTAAATTGGTAAAACCCGTAATGTATCCGTGAGGTTTTTAACGGTCCGGTATGGTCCGGTTCCAAGGATTGAACCGTTCGGTACCATGTCGTTTCAGAACGGTACAAAACGGTACGGTACAATGCCAAACACATGCTAATTTTTTTGAACAAATCTTGCAATTAGTAGATATCATCACACCAACCAACTCACATGAAATGTTGAAATAAATACAAGAAATTGCATATATAGTACTAAAATTAACAAATACACAAATAGTGCAACACAACTAAGAAAAAGTATAGCAAAACGATGACGCACGACATAAATATAATTTTTAATTTACTAAGTTCATGTGAAAATATAAAAACGAATATCATCAAATTGTTGAATATAATAGAAAACTTCAACATTCTTCTTCTTCGTTCTAGATTAAATATTACTCCGTAGTTTTAATTTAATTTATAGTTGAACCTTGAGAGCTAAGATTTAAACCATATTAATTAAGTTGTAAAAAATGCACAAACATGATACAACAAAAAGTCATGTACACTAAATTACTAGAAATAAATAATCATTGATGATTTCTAAAATTTTATTATTCTTTCAATACATACCAAAATATAACATAAATTATCTAAAAAAGACTAACAATATATATATATATATATATATATATATATATATATATATATATATATATATATATATATATATATATATATATATAACACATTTTAGATATCTTAGGGACACATGAATACATACTTGGGGTATAAAATTGTTGGTCTAGATCTATTGATATAGAAAAAACATAAAAAAATTGAAATGCATTATTTACGAACGGTTCGGTCCGGTATTTTTCGGTTCTCAAAATCTAGGACCGGTCCCGTACCCGTTTCAAACGGTACGGTTTCGGTACGGGATAAAAATCTATAGAACCGTTTAAATACCTGGTATTCGGTTCGGTACCATTACGGGACGGTTCGGTACCCGTTTGGTTCGGGTTTTATGCCCACCCCTACTCCACTTTTATTACCCTGGTTTATTATACGTATCCGAGAGTCGAGTAGACGGATGAGAAGAAACATCATTGTGGAAGCATAACCAAAATAAAAGTGCATTATGGACCAGAATAAACCCAGTGGCAGTAGAAGCAACTGTACGAGCTGAGTTGCGTGTATGGATATCGATTCTCAAGCCAGGGATCATAATTCCGTTAGCAGAAGCTAGGTGAAGAAGGAAGGGGAACCCCAGAAAGCAAGCGAGACTGTCTCAACGGCTCTGCTGGTTGTTGTTAACAAAGCAGCGAGGCGTTCGTTCAATACATGTACGTAGAGCGAATCGGCCTTTGAGAACAGCTTAAAAGGCGAGACACTCACATCTGGCTCCCTGCGGAAATTAGGGTTTGATCAAATTGAGAGGGATAACCAACAGGTCCAGCTTAGGAGATGATTAGTCACTCCAAATATCCTGCCTCTATAAGACAATGATTTCTGAGGAGCGGGCCGTCTTTGGCATATTTAGGTCAATATATACATTATTATTGTGAATTGGTGTATATTCACATGATTTACAATCCACTGCTTTGATTCACTTGGCTACCCCTGCACAGGGTAAAAAATTTGGATCAGAAGCAAAATGAAATGTACCAGGATTTTAGCATGGAAAACCACAGACCAAAGCAGTGAAACTAGGAAACTTCAATGCTTGATTCTCTAAATCCATACATCTAAACCACATTTCCTTCTTCAAATGCCCCTTATTTCATAGCCATTCTCTAACTTCTTACATATCTCACTGTCAAACTCGGCCCACCCCTAATTTCTTGTGTTCATTTGCAGTTAGGAATCTGAATGATTTAAATCAATGATTGGTTTCTTAGCAATGTACTGTCAAAATTTTGTGATAAAGAGGAGTCCAGTGTCGGAAATATGATGAAATATATTATTTTGAGGGTCTCGTTTTCGAACCCTATGACATCAATTGTGTAAAATATGAATTGGAGAAGGTTTAAATACATCAAAGAACAATTTTCATATTTGGATATATTTCATTTAATGACTAGAATCCATAGTTGTAAAGTTGTTATGTGATGTACTAATAAATTGAATGTAATTGTCCGATTAAAAAAATTAGTAGTCTCATCATGATTAATTAATTATTTGTATATGACAAGGA